CACCTACTTTTGTTTCTCACCCTCTTATCTCCGACCCCCCTCCCCGAAAGCGGCCCTATATCCTGTGCCGCTGGTGGTGGTAACCGAGTTGTTGGCTCACCATCTCGGCCACGATTGCACGCAGGTCTTGGGGTTGAGGCAGCGCCGGTGTATACATTTGGGAGAGACGTGTTGACGTTGGGGGTGTCCAGGATTGGGGGTAGTACTGTGGGAGTCCCCCGTTTGACAGTGTTTGCCTCTGAGGCTGTAGAGGGTCCATTTGTGGAGCCGGCCCAAGTGCTACATGACTGTTTTGTGATGGTGGAAGTTGCCTGTTCAAGTCTAAGCAATGTACTATGTCTTGGGGTCGCGGTGTCCCTCTCCCCGATTCGCGAACTGGGCCCAATGGCGGAACACTTCTCTGGTAGTCCGAGCGTTGCTCTTCGACCGGATAGTGATCGCAAGGCTTTCCATTCAGCACTTCGGTCTTGCCGGCGTGCCATCTGTTCGCGGGGTCGTCCGTGTGTTGTGCATACAGGCACCCCATTGCTTGATGCATCATGCGGTGCTCCTCGGCTGGGCGATAAGCTTGAGGTTTGCCATACATTGTTGTTGTATTCCGTCCCTGCACGGGTTTGTTTTTGTGCTCTACCAGTGGACTCCTCTGCTGACCGATCTTCGAGGTTGGTGAATCTCTTCGCCATTGTATGCCTAAAAAAAGGCTGGCCACGGCTCCTAGCCTGTTGACCACGTTTCGCACCCCATCTTCCTTATAGTGTAGCCTGCCTCTCTCCATTGCATCCTCAGCTTTGAGATCTCGACTCAGGTCTATAAATCGCGCCTTGAGGTCCTTACAGAGCTTCTTTAGTTGGGCATTCAGCAGCATGGTTGCTGCTTGAATTCCTTTGCCTCTGCCCTCAATCTCTGGTATTGAGCATATGGCCAATGCGTCTTTGTGATTTGTCCATTTCAGCCTCAGTTGCTCTACAATCGCCGCAGGTTGTTCGCCGTGCAAGATGTCATTTACACCCACATGCAATATATACATTCGGGGTACTTTCCTTGCTTTCTTTTCATATTCGTATATTAGGTGGTGCACATCTGCGATTGTTCCACCTCTGTTATATAGGATTTCCATTCGGCGATGGTCCCCTACTCGATCTACGAGAGTGCGTGCAAACCGTGCAACATTATTATCACCTGCAACAATCACTTCTCGTGTCACTCCTTGAGGAGGTCGGATGTGTTCATCGATGTGCCTTTGGTTTATGCGAGTCCCATTTATGGTGGTAGCGTTGCTATTGTCTCCCACCTGGTTGGGCAAGTCCTTGACTGATGTGGTTGCCACTTGCTGCTCTGTTTGTACCTGCATCATACCATTTTCATGTTGAAGGTGAGGTCCTGCTCCGCTGTCGTAGGTCTCAGGAAGTGGGGTACCACTTTCGAACGTCACAGGCCCATGTCGCTGATAGTCAATCTGGTTAGGCGTTTTTTCATTTTCTTGCTCACGTCGCGCACTGTACTCTGGAGAAACCTCCATTGTTGTGTCCAGAGTTACCTTGTCAGTTAGACTGGACGACATTCGCTTCACAAGCTCTTCGACACAATGCTCTAATTTATCCACCCGGTCGAGGAGTGCATGTAGCATGTCGGTCTGATCCACGGCACCTGCTTTGTTGGTGTCTTCCCACCTTTTAATCATGTCCGTCATGGTCGTTTCCAGTTCCTCACTCTTGTTTCTGTGTGTCGTGTCCACCTCGTCAATCATCTTGCATATTCTGCAGACGAAGTCAGCATTTTCAGCCTCTTGAGTGTTCTTGAAATCGCTCTCGGAAACGTAGGCCCATCTCCCGCATTTGTCGCAGCCGATGAGGGGGTCCTCTGGCTTCGCAACCTTGCGGCTCCTCCCCTTGGACATCTTGGCAACGGTGTGCGATTGTTTCGCGTGAAAAAACCCACGGCGTCAAGCACGTCGCGACGTTTAAAGGGAGACCCCGAAAAGAAACGATCCTCCAGATTCGAAATTAGCGCAATCTGGATGGATGGATGGGCGGTAGCTTGCGCCACCTAGAGTTAAAAATATATATATTGTAGCTTCTTTTTTTTTTTTTTTTGTCCGGTTTGCGCGTTGCTTTGCTAGGCTTCTGCTGCTTTGCGGCTGGTTTTCGCATTTCAATGCTGGTTAATGTGCGTTGAAACGCACACAAGCCAGCACTGATAAGCGTGACCAGCAGCAAAGCAGCAGAAACCTAGCAAAGCAACGAAAGTGACACATACACAAAAAAATATGCAATGCTTGTCCTTTTGCGTTCATTTTTATTCAACAGACAGTAGAAAATACAGACGAAATTTCTCACTGTTTTGCACACGAGAAACAAAGAAATGAACAACAAAACGGGATAAAACGTTAAGGTTACGTGCGACGAAGGTGATGATATGCGTCCTTGCAAATTTGATTATATAATTAAGCATATAAGTAAAGACCGACGACGGTGTCTTAATTGCAACTAAAGGAAACTAAGCAATGAGTACCAAGAAAAACAGCTCAGCTCTTTGGTATTGAGTCTTCATCGAGAACCTGCCCATTCGTTTTTAATATTATCACTTAAATTTAGGAGTGAATCACTGCTAAACGAAACGGGAAACCAGAGCGGATCGCTCTATCGCTCATCCTCAGTTAATCGAAAAATATTTAGGCTCATATTTTCACTCCTCGCGAACAGACGCGTGAATCGCTGACAACAGTGTCAAATAAACAGCTCACAGCAAAAAGTTTGCCATCTTTTAAAGTGAGCATATGTGCTCGATCTTGATATGAAAAAGTCTACACAGAAGTCTCCAGTAATTTGACAATGACATATTTCTCGCGGCGAGTGAAGAGCAATCCTGAACACTAATAGGATTTGGTTTTGTGATTGGAAACCATTGTAGCTATTGCCAAAATCAAACAATTAATACTCACTACCACTGCGACAGTTAGGTTTTGTTGCAAACATATAATCAGAAACTTAAGCAAGAGAAGACCAAAAGAGCGTACCGCACGTCCATTCGAACTCGAAACCATTGGCTTTCGGCAGTCATTGTTTCCCCCCTTGGCATATAAGGTGGTGTGTTGATGACGAAAATCCATGCTTGTCCACATTACACCAACAAGTTCCCACGAAAAAGAAAAGATAGCCGCGCGCGCACGAACGCGGGACGAATCTCGCGCCGCGACGCACTCCCAGAAGCGAAACAACTCGCCGGCTCGCGTCCCTCGCGCGCAGTGTTGCCAGATGGAGAAAAAAAAAGTCAGCAGATTGATCCCCAAAAAGTCAGTAGATTTGCACAAAAATCAGTAGATTCCACGAAATATGTGTTTTGCCATGTTTTGCTATCTCCATTAATACACACTTCGAAGAAATAGTATAGAGTAACAAATAACATGGTAATAAACACAAATAAAAATGAAAGAAAAAAACAAGACCAGTTCTCGAGTAACTTTATATGAAGGACAGATTAAAATGGCACCATAAATGTTTTTGTTTTAGTCATTATTGACTATTTCGAGCATTATTCTTTAAAAGCGAGACTGAGGCACTTTTGGGATCACAGATGAAGGCGACAGTGCGACGTTCACCTGTCGCTATTATTGAAACGAAACCGAAACGAGACGCTCCGGCAAGTGCGCGCGAACATATCCAATGGAAGTCCTCTGCATGCTGCCATCTTTCCTTACTGGGCTGTGGAAGGTTTTTGAAGCAACGCTGTTGGTCCGGAGCACTGTTGAGGCTACCCGTCGTCTGCTACGGGCTTATTTCTTTTTCGCCTGACCCAAAGTTTGCGTTCAAACGTGGAGAAACTTCATTCGTTAGCTTTTTAAGCCACCGAGGAATAGAATTATATCATTTTCTTGCCACAGCCTGCCAAATAAAAGAAAATAACTGAAATTTGGATGTCGATCCCATGCATTCCGCCGAACGAATGAATCAAAATTGCGGCTCTCTCCGCTCAAGTCGGAGCTTTTCTAGTAGATAGTATCGGAGCAGCCGAGAGTTCAGGCGCATGCGCAAACACCTCTCGCTCTGCGCCGCGGGCTGATTGGCTCACTCGGGAGAGGGACGTTACGGCGAGATCATAGACTAGCCAAACTCTCTCCATATATGGCTCTCGCCCGGATTTCACCGTCGAACCTGCCGAACCTGCTCTGAGTGAATAGATAGATGAATATATGGCTACGTCACTCGAATAGGACGGGCTTCTGGGCCATCTAGCCAGTGCTTCGTATTTAATTCTGGAACATTATGAGTTTCCTTTGATGGGCGATACTGGGAACTGAAGGGGCCATATAATATATTTTTAATATGTTTACTAAAAAAAAGTTAGTAGATTTTCTTCTTTTTCAGTGAATCAGTAGACCCGGAACGAAATCAGTAGATCTACTGATAAATCAGTAGACCTGGCAACACTGCTCGCGCGTTCTAACGGTCCACCCAGTCCCAGTCCACCGACTTACCGGCGCCAGCGGCCAGCGCATCTCGAGGCGAGAGGCGCGGCTTCGGAGAGAGAGAAAGCGCGCCCAGACACGTCGAAAGAGTGAAAGAGAAAGTTACAATAACAAGCTTCAAAGTCATTCACACCTTCAAAACAACTTCACTTTTATTTCGAATCATTAGATATATGAATCAATTTTATTTAAAATTAAATAACAAGTGCCAACAGCCGCTGGGAGCGCGGATTCGGAAGCAGTTCGCCGGACCGGACAAACGTCATAAGTATACGCGGCGGGACGGAAGTAGCCGAAAGCTTCATCCCACTGGTGGGTACGCGTGGGCACGAGTGCCGTGAAACGAACTCCCGACGGTAACCAACAATCAAAGTTGCAAACAGCGCAGGGACACAGACAGAATCGAGTTTTGATTATTTAATAGGTTATTATTTAAATTAGTTACTTACACCTTTGAATTGTTGCTCTGGTAAAACGAAATTTGAATCACGTTACTTGAGGCCAAGTTACGACCTAAGTTGTTTCTGTCTGGCAACACTGTAAAATTATCGTCTGCACGTTTTGCTGTTTACGCCTTGCAAGCTGTGAACGTGATGTTTTCGTCCAGACTAATGGCCTGGCTTATACCTTCGCTAAAGCTGATGAGGTCGCATGCGACGAAGAATGCCAGACCGCCTGACAGAATAATGCCCGCATGGTGCACTGGCAACAATCCTCTTTTGGAGTCAGTCGTATTTCGCCATGTGCGCGTTTGTTCAACCCAAACAGCCGCTCCCGAAAAGAAGAAAATTGAGTTCGTTTTGTTGATTGACCCAAACGGAAAAGTGCTTGGGACACGAACCAAGGAGGAAGCAGTCCTCTTCGCGAAGAAACACAACTACCAGTGAGTATTTCTGTCGACTTTCGCCGTGTTTTCTCAATCTTGCGGTGTTAATAAGCTTCCAAGTAAAAAAAAAAAAGCTGAAAACATTCGGATTGAGTCGATCCTTGTAACTCCTTTCTTATCTTTCTAGCTTATTGGCCCTTCGACCTTGCAGAACAAATGCTAAAACATGCATAACGTTTTGAACCTTTTTTGTATTTAAGTTATTGCAAAAGTTTTGATTTTAAGAGGTTGTCAGTATCGATAATCAATAGCTGTGTTGGAAAGTGCATACATGGTTAGTTATACACTACTTCACATGCGTGAACACTATTGGCCCTCTTCTCCTCCTCCCCCCTTCTACTCTTAGAATGCTTGCTTATACAAACACACACATTCACGCACGCACGCACGCACGCACACGCGCGCGCACACACACACATATGCGCGTGTGAAAGGTCGGCTTTAGCGCGATGTTGTTAAAAAATTTGGAGGCTGCGTATTTTTTCCTTATTTTTGGTACTTTCCAAAGAAAGTACAACTCCCGATTTCAAAGTACTTTCTCCACATTTGTTTCGGTGAAATTAAGCTCTTTCAAAGACCACGCGATTGCGTCCTAATTGCTTTCCCAGCTCTATTAAAAACTTACGAGGTCAAGAAGAGTTTAGCAACCTTTAACAAAACATGGCATATCATTGTGAAAACATGCTATCGCCTTTCAAGACATCATCCAGTCATTTCTCTGAACAATTAAGTGCCCAAGTTGATTTTTTTATTTAGTTTGTCAGCGAGAATAAAGCAAATATTCTGTAGCCACTTGGCTTTATCAAGTATTTTCCGAAAATAGCCGATACAATTTTCGAAAGCGTAGAACCATACATATGAATCAGGCACTGAATGTCGACATCTCTAAGAGGTCATTCGGTGGCTGATCATATGTAAGAGTCCAATTGGTGCATTGTGAACGAAGTGTATGTCCAGGAGGGGAGTCTATCGGGGCTATATAAGGAGCATGAGAAGTCTTGTCCTGCGCCTTTTTCATTGGCCACTAGCCCCGGGGTAGGATTTCTTTCCCATGTAAATTTTTTTCTGGTGTGGCAGGGATGAGGTCGATGGGGTACACTCTCACTGTCTTTTCAGACAGATTGAACTTCTTTGAGACAGTAAAGGCTTATTCACATGATGCATCTTTTCAATGCACCACAGTTTAGCAAAATCGGCCTGTTTACACGTGGAGTTTGACGCGCGAAACCTGTGACGTATTGACTCACGAGAATTTCTCCAAACCTCACCGGGAATACCAAGCGTTTCGCATCAAAATGATATGAAGTACGCACAGTGTAAAGAGACAGTCTGTTTTATTAATACAACTCAATGAACTTAGTCAGATTCGGCTCCCTGGAGTAAGTCCTGCCAAACCCGGGAAAGACAGCGAACGTCAAAGAACAGGCAGATGATCTCGAAGCATTTCGGACATGTTTGCACTGCTACTAAAGAGAGTTATTCCCATTCACCAGGTTTATATCCGGTGCTTGCACTCGTTGCGACTATTGATGAATCTGCACCGCGCCACCAACCCGTACTGTAGGCGCCGTTCACACACCTGCAACCGAGTAGGACCAAGACTCGTCGCCCATACACACCGCTTCTCCGCTTGTCGCTCGCCATGTTTGTTTATTTTCTTTCGGCTTTGGCTCGGATACGGAATTGGCCGAAAATCAGACTCCTCCAGAAGCTCGCTCCTCCTCGAAGGTCAGACGTCATAGCAAAGTCGAGCGGCCATTGGCAGCGCCCGCGTTTCTCCTTCGGGTGATTGACAGGCCTCGGTGAGGTTTCAGCGAAAAATTGCTCCAGAAGCGAGGAAGACGCCCCACTTTTTTCAGAGGCGCGCCACTTTTTCGGTTGCGTTCAAACGGGGAATCTGTTTCCCGAAACCTAGTTTCGCGACACAAGATTCCCCAACAAGATGCATCGTGTGAATAGACCTTAAATGGTGCTTGTGTGGTGCAACACAGCGACTCAGTCGGTGCGCCTGCATAAATCTCTACTCCGAAATTGATAAACTGAGGTTCCACTTTCTCTAAATCAAGTTTCGATAAAACAGGCCCTTTTCTAAAACGCATTTCGATGAAATAGCATTCGGTGAACCGTAGCGAACACCTCAGAAACTGGTCTTGGCAGAACCCTAATCACATTCTTTTGAAAGGCTCACACAAGACAAACCTCTCTTCGTGCACGTGCTAATATGTGCACCCAGTAATTTAATTTAGACGGAACACATATTCAGCAAAAAATATCAAGGAATAGATTTACAAGGTAATAGAAATGCATTGGTTATCAGATATATTAGTAACTTGTATGCGCAAACACAGAGGATGAACACGATGGCGTGGACAAGGACAAGCGCAACTTCCTAGTTTTATTTGCATTCGAGCGACTGCAAAAGATTCATAGAAATCATGCGCTACAAAGGAAGGCAAAAGGTAAGAAAACATACTGTATCGGCCCAAATGGGAACTGAAATTCACTTTTAAACAGAGGCATTCTAAAGATTCTTTGCTCCTGCCCAGGATTCCCATGAACCTTTTGTGGTCGGTTGGCCGTAAATAAAATTAGTTGAGAGTTGTCCTTGTCCACTCCTTCGTGTTCATCCTTTGTGCTTGCGCATACAAGTTTACTCAGAACCATGAACCAACTAGCCCAATAATAAGTCTTGCTAAAGATATACTAGTATTTTTCACATAAAAACTGCACTTGAGGCATGTCCTTTACTGCTTGATTCTGGTCTTTCCAATTGCATTGCTTGCTTTCAAAATCAAATTTCTAACCATAAAGAGAATGGGAGCAAACTTTTAGAAACTCGGTGGCACAGCTGCAAACTAAACCATGAGCGAGCAGTCTTCTACAACAGTCGAGTGCCTGGGAAAGCAGACGAACGATACTCGCCCTGGACGGTTTGAGAACGACTCCACAAAGACAAGCTATAGTCAAGGAAAACGTGGAAAAGGCAGGCAATTGTAAAATAGTTTTTGTAGACACCCTGATCAAGCATGAAAACTTTCATATCACTGTTTGAGCATATTATAGAGCCAAACGAAAAAAATGCCTCTTGACCCGGATATGGAGCTGAGTGACATCAGCATCCAGTCGAGGAGTGTGTGTACCGTCATGTAGCATCCACCGTGCCGGCTCAGAAAGGCGCGACGTCAGCATCATGCGACGCGCACTCCGCGGGGCGAAATGGCGGATTTCTCCCTCGCCCGAGTATGTAAGGTTTTTCGTTTTCAGGTTTCATTTAAATTTTCACGTCCAAAACGTCCACTTGGAACGGGGGAAACCCACTGAAGACTTTGGCAGCTACGAAATAGGAAGGACAGTCCTAAACAAGGACACATTGAGGACAATGGGGACATAACCATCAGAACCAGACAAAACGTGGCAATTTTAAGAAAGTCGTTGACAAAAAAAAAAAAAAACCCGAAAATGAACGTTACCGATACACAGCAATCTACAGCGTGTTTGTGTTTTTTGCTGCAAAGGTTAAACTATTGCCAAATGCTCAGTCTAAGCCCAAGTGTAGCATTAGCGGACCAAGTCGGATGCCAAAAATTCAGAACCGTTACCATACTCAAAAGTTATAAGTTCAATGGGAAAGTGAGTCTTATTCCTGGAGGGGATTCATCTACATGAATTTAAACTTTTAGAAAGGAGCTTCCATTTTGAACAAGATAATGATTAGTTCTGGAACCGCATGCAGGTCATTTGGGCAAAGAGTGACGCACCGTAACTATTTTGGTGGGCAGAGTCTAAAGATGTTATTTCTCCAAAGACTCGTAAAGGTGGATGAGCACGCTGAAGCCAAGAAGAGGAAGATATACAAGCTGGTGACAACGAGGGACATGCTGCTCGACAGCAACGGCGACAAAGGCAAGCCCCAGAAAGGGGCCGTCAAGAGTCTGCTGGCCAGCAGCAAGATCACGGACAGTGACCTTGACCACAAGCTGAAGAGCATCAAGAAGTGGCTGGAAAAGAACAGCGAGATTCGCGTGGCCATATCCGGGACGCCGGAGGGCAGCAGACAGCTGGTGGGTGTTCTTCATTTGGCCCATGCTTCTCAAGGCCTAGAGAAACCTCATGAACCACATACTTGGGAAATATCAAGAAGCCACTTGAAGAAGCGGGCACAAAGCAGTAAAACTTTACACGACTGTAAAATGGGCTTGACGAGAGTGGTACTGCTCCTATACCATTCTGTATTTTGTTCCCCATATCCAACTTTTGCACGTATTTTACGGGAGTCACTTATTCATTGAATTGAATTTTTCTCCCATTTAGTAGACATCTGTACATATGTTCCAAGGGGCATACCCTCCTAAATATTGAATATTGTTAAATAAGCAATGTCACAACAAACACAAAACACTGGTAAATGAAATAATAGCCACAGGAAATACCAATGGAACAGCAGTAAAATCGCAAAGCCTGCTGTGTTGCCTGCAGGCCGTCGGGAGTCCCTGCGCCTAGAAATGTCCTGCCATACGGAAGCCAGTTTCTCGCTGCACTATCTACAGGGATCAATGGCTGCTTGAAGGGGCAGCATGAATTGGTTTCCCATGATACCAAGCTAAGGTTTGGTGGGTGCAAGAATCTGCGTTACGGTTAGACAAGTTTAATTAGAAAACATTTTCCCTAGAGCATTCAGTCTGCTAAAAAAAAAGGCGTCATGGTTGGTACAACAGATGAGGATGGGTGGCGAAGGCACAGAGTAGCCCATTTTTCAGTGTTATCGGTGGCTTGGAGGCTTCCCTCCCAGCGTAGAATTGTAGGGGAGGTTGCTGTGGACCTCTTTCGACCTCTGGCAACGAGCAACCTTCACTCACTCGATGGGAGTGCACCATCAAGATGACCCCAAGAGTTGCAGAAGAGAGACAATCAGAGAGTGCAAAGCAGACGACATTTAGCTGAAAATAATTGTTGAAAAATTACATCAGTGTTGTTTTATCTTGGTTTTGCTTTATTGGTAGAAAAACATTGCTTCTGCAATTGCTGATGGAAGCACCCGTCGCAGCCTGCACTCTTACGTGCCGCCGTATGTTGCGCTAGTCGGACACCTTTATTAGTAGACGGATGCCATAGCTAGGGATCTAATATTTTTGCTGAGTTAGGTGAGTGAAATTTTGATAACCTTAATGCACATTCTTGAGTACAAAATCCTAGCTGATTATGTTGAAACAGCGATTGATTTGAAACAGATGCCTTCACACTGTTGCTGCTAGGATGAAAACGGTAGGGAGGTCTTTGTGTTGCTTCAGCTCCAGTGCGAGTCTCATGCAGGCGAAGCTTGGCGCAAGGAGTCTGTTCTCTCGTTCCAGGAACACATCTTTGAAAAATTCCAAGCTTCTCTGGGAACAGAGGCCAGGTTCCTCCAGAAGAGGATAAAGGATGGGATGCTCAAGTTTGTCATCACCCCTCCTTCGGAAAAAAAGACTCAGTCCCAGAAGAAGGATGAGGAGTGACCGCACACCAGCGGCCACCATTTCTTTGATATTTCCAGAGCCCTCTTCTATGGGAGACATGGAGGCTATGCATCATTGACAGGATTAGAATGGCATCCTGCCAAAGAGTCCTGCTGTTCTCAATCTATCAATAACCATCAGTTTTAGTTGGCTCACTCAACAGGTATGAAATGACTTTACCGTCTCACCTGTTGCGTCTACTTTCTTGCAGTGTACACATACAGCTCGTTCTGCATCAGAAACGCAGCCAAGAACCAGGTCAAGAACACGATTTTCTGTAAAAATGCTATGTGAGCAGATAGCAATTTGCTCTGCGGGAAAACAGACGCACAGGCCTTGTTGACTCGAGCAAATACGGCAGTAGCCCCTTGGTTTGAGCACACCTTCCAGGGCAAACAGCTGGCATGCTTCCCAAACCCAATCGGCCCCCCAATGAACATTGTTGCTCGCTGTCTGCAGTGCGAGCTGACAACACCCATTTATCTTCCACCAAGAACATGCTCTGAGCATCTGCTGCCAACCATGATGTAAAGTCTCATTAGAGTATTGTCTAAATAAATGGGTCAAATATGAAACCATCCAGTCTGACTTGAGAAGCAATTATATTCAGCACAATTGAATTGAATTCAAATCTGCAGTGCACACACTCAAGATGACCTTAGAACCGTCGCTGATGTTGGTGCACTGTGGAATTACTTCTGCCGCCACTGGTTTTTCATTGTCCAACACTATTATCTGATTGAGTGACTCGAGCTGCAGATGTGGCTTTGGATCTGTCTCCAAATCTGGATGTGGCTTTTTTGCTGTGCCCGACCCCGGTCCCTTGTCTGGCTCTGAATCCGACGTACTGCCGAGAAGCTTGTACTCTTCTTTAGGAGAGGCCGCATGCCCGGACAGGATTGCTGCAGCGCTTTTCGTTGGGATGTTTATCTTGCGCCGCCTTCTCGCCTTTTTCTTGCGTTTCTAAAGGAAAAGTAAGACAATATTTAAGAGCTCGGTTAGTTCCAAGTTTAACCTCCGACACTGCACTCATGGGCCAAGTCATTTTGGAGCAGCCAAAAATCCATTATGGGGGCAATATTATATGTTAATATCCAACTAAAAAAACATGCCCTCTTGGCCACTTGTGTGCAATCTTAGAAGGCATGGCAACAAGATGCTGATTGATGAAGGACAATATTAGGGATGTCGCGAACCACCCTAGGTTCGATTTCGAAAGGTTTCGATATTTGCGAAGCGAACTGAGGTTCGATTTCGAAAAATTTCGATATTTTCGTATCGACCGAGGTTCGATTTCGAAAAATTCGCAACTTTTGACCACAGCGGAGTTTCGAATTCGAAAATTTCGAAGCTTTCACGGTTTCCAAAGTTTCGAATTCGATATTTCGAATATTTTTTTACTTCAGGTTCGATAAATTCGAAGATCTCGAAATTCTTTGTAAAAAAAATTCGAAAACTTCGAACGCTTCGAATTTTTATAGACATGAAGTTCGAACAATTCGAAGATTTCGAATTTCTTTTTGCATAAAGTTCGAAAAGTTCGAAGGTTTCGATTCTCTTTTAACGCTAAATTAAAAAAAAAAAAAAGAACTTCGAAGATTTTGAATTTCTTTCTAATCGAAGTTTTCAAAGTTCGAAGTCCGGTTTTCATGTTCCGCCACAGTTTCAGTTTCAAATAACGTTTTCACGCCTCACTGGTTTTCACGAAATCAAGTTTCGAAAAGTTAGGCTGTGATATTCAGATTGCGCGAAGTTGGTCAGGCAATTAAATGAGACGACGAGTGTCCCGGACGTGCTAGAATATTTGCCAGTGAAGAATTGTGACCGCCAGCCCCGGGGGGGGGGTCTTTAACCTGCATCACGCAGTAGTGATTGCGCGAACACACTGTTTTACGAGACTCATCCAGTTCAAAACGGCCACGGGCGAGCAGGAGGTTGAGGCTCAGAAAAACCTTGAAGCGACCTGGCAAACTAGCTCGCCACCCCTTGCACGCTGGTAGTAATCCGATCCGGTGAAGTTTATAATTGCCCTGGAGGTTTATTTTCTGGGACGGAGGAATCGCCTCGCAAAAAGCACAAAAGCCGACACAACTCGAGGTCGAGGAGCGTTCTACCATACAAGTGGCGTCGGAAGAGGAGAAACGGGGGGAAAGAGGGTAGCGGGGGGGGGGGGGGGGGGGGGGGGGGGGGCTTTAGCCTCCTTCTCCTTATTTCGAACCGTTATAGAAAACAATACGGGGAAAGAGGGCGTGGTCGAGCTTATTTTAATCTGAAATTATTTATGCATGTGTATAGCTACTGTCGCTCTTCACTGCATAAAAGATTGCGTAGATGGTCATTGTTAGAAACTCGTTGCCAGAAGGCACTGCTCGTCACATGCTTAGTGGTTCGGAAGTTCAAAGCTGTCTTTCCGACCTAAACACCTGTGCCGATAGTAACAAAAAAAAAAAAAAAAATGCGGGAATAAAAAGCAGGAGAAAAAAAAACTATCAAGAATTCGTCGGAAGTGTTCTATTCTTGCATATTCAGAGGTTCAGAACTTCGAAACAAGTTTCTTTTACCAAAATGTGTACAGGCTAAAAGAAACACGTCCCAGGAACGTGAAGCGAAAAAAAAGAAGTTTTCTTTTAATGACGTGCTGAACTTGAACACTATTAGAAATCTTCTCCCATGAGTTAATTTATTCCTTAACGTGAAAAAAAAACTATAAATATATTATTTCGTATTCTGCAGATGGCAATGATATGTACTGTCTGTGGTGTTAATTTAAATGCGATACCTCAAACAACTTAGACGAAAATAAATATCAAGTTTAGGTTATAATTGCATGCAGATACATGTTTGGACATTTCTTCGAAACTCACGTTGAATAACAATAATCACATCTTAACACGGCACTTACCTAGGCTATACATAGATCATTCTTAAAAAAAGTATAACATATCTACCATAAATAGCTCCGGCTGCAGCGTGCTTCAAATCTGGCACAAACGATAATCGTCAAAAACCCGTCGTCCTTCCTCGCCCCTTCGGGGATTTATTTCTTTAAACCTAAGCATGCCAGAACATTGAAATAAACGACATTGTCTTTCGTAAGGAACGCAGCACCGCGTGTAAAAGTTCGAGAAAAAAAAAATTACGAATGTACCCCACTACTTGAAATCAAATGAAACCCTCCGCCGGTCTTTCGAAGTTCGACGAACGTCGAACTTTTACCCTAAAAGTTCGAAGTTCGTCGAACTTCTGACTTTTCAGAATCCGAAAGTTCGAAACTTTTCGAATTCTCTTGATAAATAAGTTCGAAAGTTCGAAATTCATCGAATTTTTTGGTCAGTCAAGTTCGAAAGTTCGACAAGCATCGAACCTTGCAGCGCAATAAATTCGAAAGTTCGAAAAATATCGAATTTTTTAGCGTAATAAGTTCGACGGTTCGAAAAGCGTCGAACTTCTTAGCTTAACAAGTTCGAAAGTTCGACCTCCGTCGAATTTTACGATATAGACAATTCGAAAAATCGAAATCTTTCGAACCTTTCGAATCGCTTGATTCGATCATCGAAACTTCGATTCGAAAAAAGTTCGCGGCATCCCTAGACAATATGGACTGCTGAGAAAAGGAAAAAATCGTAAGGGTGCTGGCGAGCTGGTGAATATTAACCATGTTGAATTAATCTGAGACTGGGGTACAGAAGAAACATCAAAACGTAGAAGGGACAGAAAATAGACAGGACGACGGGAGCTGAGTTTGAGACGTCGTCCTGTCTATTTTCTGTCCCTTCTATGTTTTGATGTTTCTTCTCTACCCCAGTCTCAGGTTAATTCTACATGCCGTGAAAGGTCATTTTAGGTATGTTCATTCAAGTAAATTCTTATTTCAGATAATTTTGTCATTGAATTCTCAACATGAATGACATAATTGATAACAAAGGCCTGCATGTGAAGTATGCCTTCTGACAAAGACCCAACTAAAGTGGTTACTTCCAAGCTTGGTCTAATGTAGTGTATTCTATTGGCAAACAGTGGAAGCAAGCTCTGCGTCAGAGTTGGCCAGGGCACTCGGATCGGATGTTCGAGATCAGGTTTGAATATCCCGCATACGACCTCTCAAACCAAACTTGATTGCCCAGGGGGTCTTGACTGTACCCCGATAAAGTACAAAGTAAATGAGAGGTGATGTACTTTGAGTAATGTAGTAAGTACACTGGGTGTAATGTACTTCAAGTACAGTATTGTGGCATCCATGTTGGACCACAGAGTTAGCAATTCTCGAAGCCTCTGCACGTCTCGAGAGTAAAGTCAAGTGGCCACAGAGTAGTTTTTTCCAGAAATGGCGCCAAATTCACAAGTCCTTCCGATTTGTGAATTTGGCGCCGCTTTCGCTGGCTTATTACACCCAAGGGGATTAATGTACTAGGGGAGAATGTGACGTCAGCCCTTCCGCAAGCCATCCTCTCGTAGAGGAGTGTCCTCTCCGAAAAAAAGAGATAATGTGACACCTGAGATTGTGGTGCGAGGAACTTTTAAGGGGGCACGTGGCCTCAAAATTCAAAATTTCCAGAAAATTTTTTTTTTTTTTTTTTAACAATTATATGTTTGTTTATTAACTTCCAAAGAATGGTTTCAGGAAATTTTATTTATACACATGCAGGATTTATCTCACAATAAATTATTTTCTACATGTTTTTTTATTTAGTGTTGCTTCATACTCGTTTAACATAGCCAGAACACCTTAGCCTCATTGGAAGTGCCAATTACCCTAGATTTGGCCTGTAGAAGCTTTCAAAGTTTAAAGGTATCAATGGCCAGGAGAACCTTTACATCCAAACAAAATAAAATCCAGAAAACTTTGGTATAAGCAATCTTATTGGTTGAGATTCGAAACAGGGTTTACGATTGGTCCTGCCCAGTGACGTGATATTGTGTCATCTTCAGTAACACCCTTTCACAGTATCTTCCACATCAGACGCTATTCCTGCTTTGCTGCACTTCCTTAGTATGATTTCCCTCTTGGTTCTTGCCAGTTTATCTGTCAAGCAATGTCTGCTACAAAAGTTGGCTTGCCTACAAATGACACAAACTGCTAGCTATTGCCAGGGGAACAACAAAGTCTCAAAGGGAAAGGTGGATTTTGCCTACCTCGGACTCATAGAAAAGAAAGAAACCGAGAGTTGAAACTTCAAATGCCTTTTTCTCAGTTCCACTTTTTGGCAGGAAATGTGGTATGAGGAAATGTATCATTTGACATTTGGAAAGTGTAAAGATTTCAATCGGTGGTGTCCTGGACTGAAATTTCCTGAGGAACAAGTGGTACTCATATTCTGAAAAAGCTAACTTCTTCATGACAAAAACTGGATATTTTAAAACACAGAAATTCGTTAAAATCTTTTCCACTTTCTGGGTGTTATTGTTTTTCTTTAGAATTGCATTTTCTACAATTAATTTTTACCTTAACTTGCACTATGGGTATTCTACTTCACATTAAAACAAGCGTTTTGTGGATTGCAATTATTATATTTTTTAAATACATTTCCTACTGAAGTCACTTTCTCTGGAGCTTTTTAAGCATTGTGTGTTGTAGAATTGGCCTAGAAGACTGAAACTTTGGATGTCATCAATCCTAATGGGATTCAATTCACCCTGAAAGTTTGAATCAATTTAAGGGAACGGTTCAAAAGTTGACCCTCCCAGGCCATGTCCCCCCTTAAGTCGAAGGAAAAGACAAAATAGAATGTATCGAAACATTGTGACAATAGAATGTCATAACGTTTTGAGACATTGCGACATTAAGTCGAAGCTGTCACATTAGAATTAATTGTCCTAATATTTTTAACTAGCTCGCTGACCGAGCAAGAAGTAGAGACTTCAAAGCCAGAACAAACAGAGTGATGCGTCGTCTGCTCGCGTGTCTGGTGAGAGTAGAACACCACTCCCAATATTTCTCAGAGTTGACAAAGCACCATTTTGAGATAGAATTCTTTCAAGTCGGGAGTTGTACTTTCTTCAGAAAGTACCAGAAAAAAATGCAGTCACCGCTTAACCATTTTGGGAAATTTCTGACCCTTGTCTTCAAAATTACATTTGTTGCCATCAAAATCAAGTTTCTAGCCACAAAAAAAAAAAAAAAATTAAAAAAAACTTCAGTGTTGGCACTTCTTGGCAGAGCCTAGGCCATGACCGAAGCTGGCTCATCCATAATGGTTGAGCGTGTGAACCGGGGAAGGCAGACGAGCTATACTCGTCCTGAACGGTTTGGGGAAAGCCAGGCCCGTCCAAAACGGAGAAGTACAAGTACATACTCAGAGAATGTACGTCGTCTTTGTCTACTTTAGGTACATTGGACTTTAAGTACCTAAAGCATTTCCCAACACTGATAAAAACTATATAAAGGTGACGAGAGTTAAGATAAAAATAAACCTATACAGCAGTTGATATAAAATTTCTTGCAAGAGTATTGAAAAAAAGGTATCGCCAGAATAGCGCAGTCTGCCATAAACTGCAACTAAGAGCTGTTAGGTTAAAGTTTCTTTTTTTAATATCTCTGGGGGAGTGCTCTCCCTTTAAAACTCGGTTGCGAAACAAGATAAGCAAAATCGCGATGCTTCCTTCACGGCTTCACTGCAGTACACAGGCACATTCAACAAAGCTAACTTCCTAGTAGAAAAACCCAGAGAGGGACAAGAACACCACCATTTCAAAACAACAATGATTTAATTTAACACAGACTTCATTGTTGTTCTTGTCCCTTTTGCTCCTTGTCTCTGGGTTTTTCTACTATGATTCGTCACCAGCTTGCCTGCATCTTTACTGCCAGAGTAGACTGCCAGAGATATTGCTGTCAGTAAGATCAAATAGGATAGTATGTTATTTGTGGCTATAATCAAAAGTTGATCCAGGCATGTAGCAGGGCCTGAGCCATTATATTTTCAGTAATAATAAAGTGAAATCAAGTTTTGGCACAAATTCCTTACATTTGGGCTAAATGTAGGAGGATGTAGTAGGGTATCCCTTTGGGCACAGAAATCGCATCACTGGACTGGTTAATTCTAAGGATTTTTCTATGTGCTCTACAAGTCCAGCAACCCTGGGAGCATAGAAAAACCATGCTGAAGAAGCTTAACTTTATTGCTTTTATCTACCGTGTGCATGGTCTAAGCTGCCAAGCGGCTAAGCCAATTAAGCATGGCTGCGGGCATTTGGTCACCACGGCTAACAAAGCTTGGTTTGGGCACGTCCGTCCATGGAATACTAATGCCAACAAACATGTCACGGTCTGTCACAGAGTCCCAAGAATTGTTTTCCGTGCTGCAGCGGAAACCGGCGTACAACTTTTCTTGCAAGAAACTGCCCAAGGTGCGCTAAGAAAAGATTGCAATTCGCGGAGCATGGTGAACACTGCACAACTTCATTAGCCAAGTGCTTTCGTTGGTGGAGGCAAGCAAAATTCTCCCGGGGAGCAAATTCAAAGTATGCTTAATGAGAAGCATTTTGCTGTCCCCGCTGGCACTGAATTATCGGCTGTATCCACAGGGAGCACGAAATACAATGAAAATGCAGCTGTTCTGAAGAATATATTGTCACGAATGACAGAGGCAGGATGTGAACTAAAGATTTGAGAGAGAACCGAATAAAAGTTGGGGAAAGGCAAGGTCTTCTCAATTCTTTCAAGAAAGAGTTTCTCAAGGGTTACTCCTTGTGACAGCACAAATGGAGCAAGTCCTTTGTGCATACAAATATAACCAGTTTGTGTTAGAGTTGATACCAGAACACACAATTTTCCTAACACTGAGCTGAGCCATTTCAAACTGCAGCAACAAAACACTAGTCCAACCAACGCTTTGTAAATCCACATGTTCACCTAGCTGTGTTTGCCCTCCTTCTCCAGCCTTTCCTAACCAGTTTGTTTTATCTTTCTATTTCCTAAGGAGTGCTTGCCACTGCTACTGGTAGTTGCAAACAGTATGAATGGCAGATAGTCTCCTTTGACATACTCTCTTCTAATGTATGGTTAGCATGGTGAAACCAAAAGAGCAAGAAAACTTTTATCTGAATCACATGGATACTTCGAAATAGGCGCTTGTATTCCAGCTGTTGAACACCAAGATTTCCCTGGTGCTTCAATGCAATCTGCCATTCATATTCCTTAGGAAATAAGGGGCTTTAGGGGGCAACACAAGGAAACAAAGGTAAAAAAAGATAAAGTTGGTCGGTTTTCATAGTCTTCACAGAGATTATCTAGTGCTGTCAAGACACGTCTGGTCAAACCTTCCAGACATCAATCTTTTCTTGTTTTGGTGTAGTTGAATAAACTCAGTTGTTCTTTAGATCTTCTGTTCTTTCTTGTCCCAGGGTTTTAACTTTCTATGCTCTGCAATAGAGCAACACCCCTTGTACACGCTTTGTCTCTTTTAAGTCCCTAAAATGAAGACAAGCTAGCTCAATTGGAGTGAATGTTTCTTGTCACTTTTCTCTATTGGAGCTCATATGCTATGCAACATTTTGCATCACAAGTTCGTTCAAGTTACTCTAAGGAGGTAAGGAGAGCTTAAAAGAAATAAAAGGTGGATTTTTTCAAATGTTAGAGAAATGACTTGCGTTTCTCAATTAATAACAAAACTACAATGATAGCCAAGTTTCATATAATCGTAAACTGTGTTTCAAGATGCACATTTTAACATCTTTTGTGACGTTTTGCATAAAGTTGTTTGTTCGTAAATAATTTGTGAAAATGTCTAAAACATCTCTTTGTTTACATGTTTTTGTATAGAAATATATAATTTTTCATATTTGGTGCTCATGTTGTAAATTGTCTATAAAATAAATGAAAAATATTTTAACTACGTGCCTGCTTTGGTGTGACATTGGTGGCTGAGCAAATTACCATAGTGAAATCTCGGCAATGTCCATGCCCCCCTGCTGTCTCGTTGAAGAACATAAAAAGATTTAATGAGCGTTAATCCCAAAAAGCATACGCTGCGACAGCCCTTTATCATTGGCCCCCTCGCGGTGCAGACGACGATTTGTTCGAGGGGCAACCAAACGCTTTGAAGGTTGCCCACAGCCTCGAGCTTCTCAATTTTATACCTCCCAAGAACATGGCTATATATTCCATAAAGAAATATTGAACTTGGAAACAGTCAGGTGCAAAAGGATTGGTGGCTGAGCACGTTAATAGAGAGCAGCTCCAAGCACATAGAGCTAGAGCTCGTACCCAGGGGTCCTCGGCTCAATCCCTGTACCTGCCCGTACCTGATACCGTCGTGCGGTGCCACTACTGCGTTATATGTAGGCTGTATACTTTCCAGTTTTAACCTAACCGATAAACATCTGCCACTGTCGAAAATACAAAATCGGTTGAAACCGAAAAACACCGCTTTTTTTCATATTTTCGAACAAGCGCCACCTTTTTACCGAAAAAGTCCTGTACACTTGCCAGTTTTAACTAAGAAAACACGAAAATAAAAATGATTCCAAACAAAAAAAATATATATATTTTCGCTAGCAATGTTGTATTTTTTTTTTGCACTGCAAAGTCCTACGCAAATTTGTGCCGAACAGATTACCAGTGCACTTTGCCTGTTCTTGGAGGGCTTTGTTCTCCAAGGTGAGCTTGAAGGTCACTATCAGTGGCCCCAGAGTCCCCAGCCTTTTCGGGTGTTTTGGGGCTTTCCGTGCCCAAAAGTGGAGCGGGCATTCTCGAAATTGCGCCTTGTCAACAGTGAATGGCATGGATTACCATCACCAAGTGTGAAAGAGATTGTGGAAAAGATGGAAAGTTGTTTTTCGTCTTTCACCGTTTTTAGTGTCTGCACGAGAAAATTTAGCATATTGGAGAAATAAATAAACTAGTGGTGATCATCTCCAAGGGAGACGTACCTTGGGGGGCAACGGCCGGTCGGGGTCGTGGCAAGCCTTGTGTCGCACGAGGGTTTGCTGCAAAACAACAAGCGTCAGAGCCGGGCTTCTGCTTCCCACTAGGGAGAGGTACCTTGGCAAAGAAGGTTCGGGAACAGCCCGGGGCGTCGCACGCAAACCTCTTGTTTTCGTGCGCCTTGCGGATGTGGTCGTGCAGGTTCCGCTGGTGCAGGTAGAAGCGGCCGCAGCCCTCGTGCGGACAGCAGAACGTCTCCCGGTCGCTCTGGTGCGTCTCCTGGTGCGACTCCACGCTCGACTTGGAGTAGAAGACCCGGTCGCACCAATGGCAGGAAAAGCCTGCATCCACCTCACCGTTACTTCCTCCCGCCCCAAGGACAAGTGCAGCTCGTCACCTGCCATTTTCTGCTTTATGATACACTTTTCCATGCGGTTGGTGTGCTTTATGACTGGATCAGCTCGTCAAATAAGAATAGTTTCTCGCTCCATACAACAGATGGTGCTAGGAAAACAGTAACTATCATCGTCATCTTTGATGTTCAAAATAAAAATATAATGTATGCTAGAAAAACAATTGAGATAATCATTGTATTCAGTTTGATTTTTAAATCTTTACGGTCACACTGTGGCAGCCAAAACCAGTATGGCTTCTCTTCTTTTGCAATACAAAACTAAACTGTACTGCACTTTTGATACAAGGAAGGCAGCACGTGGAATTTCCACTGACGATCAAGTTGAATTATGCTCTTGGAGTGAAAATGATGGCAGTGACATCTCTCTTGGAATCAGACGATGCAGTGGAGCCCCCGAGGTTTGTCTCGAAAACCTGGGCTCAAGTTGCCACAACTACAAGAGCCATTGGAGGCTCTTTTCGATGATGAGCAATCTGAGCAAACATTTGCGGTACAGAGAGTGGGTTCCCGTTACAAGAAACAACTGGGTAGACTATCGCACGAAAGCCACACCAAACAAGGTACTGATCCAAGAACCCATCGATCCAGACATTTGGAGAAATCCCGAGAATGCTGCACTTAGTGGACAAGGAGAGCATTCAAAATCAATCGAAAGCCAGTCTACAATGAGCTTGTCCAGAGATTCGACGAGAGCCCAATGCTTTTTAAAGCTGCCTTCCTTCTCTGCGAGTCACAGAAATACTTGGAATCCAGTTTGCAGTGACCAAGCACTTGGGAACAGGGGCGGATGCAGGACTTTCCTGAGGGGGGGTCAGGTGTTGGTCAGCGTGCCATATGTTTAGGAACCCCCTCCCACTCTCCCTCGTTTCACGCCCTAAATTTTACACATGCAGAAATCAAGAGGGGAGTCAGGACATCCGGACCCCCCTCTAAATCCGCCCCTGCTTGGGAATGGCCACAAAGGGGGTTGTGGAACTGGCAGAGAACAGCCAATTGACGAGAGAGTCCTATGGAAGAACAAGAGCAAAAGCATCTTCCCCTGGGATTGAAGAGAGGTGAGATAAGAAAGAGGCAAACGCTTGGCATTACAGTAGAAGGAGAAAAATCTGTCCACAGTGATACCATTTGCAGACAGTATGAACCGCACGATGGGAGGAGTGTTGTCCAGTTACTCAGATATTTCAACACCTCTTGGACGAGGCGACATGCAATTCCTTTGTAGTGGCCTTGGTAGCAATGGCTACAGCTGGTCAAAGCCATTGCAACCAGGTACATTGAGCCAAACAGGAAGAAAGGTCCCATTGTATATTCTGGTGACAGACAAAAAAAAAAGGACCTGGAAGCCATGAGTGGAATTCTCTGCTTTGAGCACTACCATACATGCCTGCAGTAGCTTGAGAAATCTTTTTTTCTGTTGCTCTCTAAAAGAAATGTAGTATGCCAAATAAAATTTATAATATTGCAGGAAGGTAACATACTTTAGTGTTACCTTTTGCAGTGGCGGGCCGATTCATCATGAAGCCGAGGGGGCAAAAAGAAAGTGAGGATGTCCTATGCTAATTGGAATTTGAGGTCAAAACTGCCGTGTGGTCCTCGAGTCCGTTTCTGGGGTCGTGCCGGGGGCTGCATATAACTGCCTCGCGGGTTTCCCACCCCTGGTTCACAAGGAGAAAAAAAATTAAACCATACTGGTAGAATTTTTGGCCAAAAGGGTTAACTTCAAGTAGGTTAAAAAACATGTAAGTAGATTCTCTCAGTATGTACTTAAAGTATTTGTTCTGATACTTTTGAGGAAAGTACATCTCCCAAAGTGTCAACTCTGAAGAAATACTCGGGGGGATATTCTACTCGCCAGAAACGCAAGCAGACGACGCTCCATTTGTGCCGGCTCGGTGAAATTAAGCTCTTTCAATGAGTGTGCTTGGCTTTCCATACACGAATTCTCGGGTCGAGTAGACCCGTGTGGACCAACCACTAACAAACAGAAAAAATCATCTTTCGAGATGTCATCCGGTCATTTTTTCTTTTAGTCAAGTTATGGCAACTATAAGATCAATACAAATAGGTGCCTTAAAGCTGACTGTGTTAGATTGGTCGTCAGCGAGCGTAAAACAACTACTCTGCCACTTGACTTGATCCAATATTCTCCGCCATTTCCGAAAATAACTGATGCACCCCTGGGGCAATGCATACCAGTTTTAAAAAACATACTGTAGAGGTAGGGTTCTGTGTTTTCGGAGTTTATTTTTCGTCACATTCGGAGGGTGTTTTTCAGAGTTTGTTTTTTGCCGAAAATTCGGAGCTTATCAAAGTTTATTTTTGTTTTCTTCTCAATTCTCTGAAATTCAGAGTTTAATTTTGCAGTGTTTTTTATGAACCCATTTGCTACCAAAGCCGGCAAATCACCGGGTTTGGTAGCAATATGACCCCTGACTGCAAATCGTTGTCAGGGGCCATATTGCCCCCGCGTGAATTTCTGTTTTAAAGAGCCATTCATACATGGCGCTCTACGTAGACTTGGGGTAGTGCAGTTAGATACATTGCCTACAGACGGCGAGGGTCGTTCTGTCCGCTGTGTTTGTTTGAGCTTGTTCTTTTGTGTGTCGTCTTTCCCGCTCAGTCGCTCTCTGCTTGGAGAAGATGGCAGCGTCCAGTGTGCGGTGTGGCCTTTCTGACAATGAAATCATAGATATCCTCTTCGACAGCGATGATAACGGGACGTCTGGTGAGGATAGTGAGTTTTCGGAGCCTTCTGTCGACGATGGGAGCGATTCCGACAGCAGTTCTGAGTGTGAATCACGACAAGAGTGGTTGTGCGACGCCTAAGCGACCGAGGATGAAGTGCTTCAAGACCTTTCATACGAGGAAGGATCTGTGAGGGCCTATTGATTTATAGACTTGAACGAACCACTTAAAGGGGTACTCGGGAGAGTTTTTGAGTTATTTCAACTATATTTTCTGACCCCCCGGCCTTTACCCTTTCCGGTATGCTATTTAGTGTCGCGAAATTCATAATAGTCATTGTGAAATTGGCAAATGAAAATGATCCAAAAACCAGCATTCAAATATACCCGCACTTTTCAGTGCCGTGACACGAGTGGCAGGCAACGCTTGCCAGTCGAGCAAACAGCCTATAAAATAGAATATGCCAATCATTTGTTCAGTGCTGAAGCGCGGGTACTGGAGCGAGCTTCCAAAGCATTCATTTGACACCATGAAACTGCTTCCAATCAGTTGGGAACAAATGAGCGAACCCCTGCCTTCCACTGACGTCACTTTTTCGTTCTTGCCAGTAGAGACTTTCAGTTTGAAAAACACAGTCTAAAATTGTAAATTAAATAACTTTGTGAAAAAAAATTATTTTGACCTAATATTTGGGATACTATTTAAGCAATGTTGTTTCGCGAGTTTAGCAAAATTTCAAGCAAATCGGGGACCATGAAGAAATCGCCTAAGTACCCATTTAAGCATGTAAATAAACATGTTTCCTTGTTTTCTGCACTGAGTTTCACTGTACAAGCAAAACAGTCACGCCTAGTGTTTTAGGGGAAAAATGTGCGGTACGGACGGCCCGGTAGTGCGCGATGCACATGGAGTGGATTAAAAGTAAATAAATAATATCCGGGTGTATGCTGGACAGACAAGAAAAATGTGATTGTATCAATAATTATTTTCTTCAGTTGTCTTTGGCGTTGGTGCCATACTAGTGGCAATACTAATTTGTCCTACGACAAAAGTGGCACACAAATGTTGCTTCGATAAATGTCGGTACCTTAAAATCTATAAAAGTAGTCGTTGAGAAGCTTGTATTCATTCCATACTATTGCAGCAACCTACCTCGCTAAGCGTTTGTCCTGCAATCTTGTCATTATATTGAGAGTGTTTGAGAACAAGTTATCAAGCGCGTGTTTCACTCAAAATTTTTTTTTTTATATAAAAAGGAGCTTCATTACAGCATTGACACATTGATTTCAGAATCCAGCGGATGATGCACAAGGACGATTTGTGGGACATATTTAGCAAGGCCGTGAGCCCCTTTGTTTGGTTCTAACCGGCATTTGCGGCTGAAGATGTGAAGCCTTGGCACTGCGTGTGCAGAGTTTGGTTCCCTCGGGAGAACTGCCTTTCAGAAGAGGGGTCTCCATTTGTTTGGGAAAGCTTGGGGCGTCGCACTGCGCAGTGCCCCAAACTGGTCCAAGGACTCAAAGCTCTCTATTATTCCATGCTTGTGAAAAGAACTTTATAAAATATTGAGTGGGTAGCTCAAAATATCCTAATAAGGATACTTTATTAATATTTATGTTGAACAGTTGCCAGCTTCCGCGACGCATAAGCGCGTGAAAAACAACCAGTGACGTGTCCCCGCAGTGTTAGCATGTTCAAAAGGCACCCATGAAAAGCCGAAGCATTTTCCTTTTAAAATAATTACTCTCAGTCTAAAAAATGTATTGTAATGTCCTCAATCATTTAGTTTAGTGCACAATTTGTGGTTGCTCCAAGTATTGAGAACAAATAGAAAAGCTTCTCCCGCAGCGTGAAGCTGTTGGAAAGCGAGCGACTGTTCAACTCAACCCCCCTTTTATGCTTTCATCTTGAAATGATTTTCCAAATCAAAGTTACACGTTAATAATGCTGCAACGTAAAGGAAGCGAGCATTTATCCTTGCATCACCACTACCTTTACATTTCTGAGCAAAAAGAGCTCCTCTGCACTTAGCATCAGCCGTCAATCGGGGATGGAAACAATCTATTTGCGCAAAACAGAAAACAAAACAAGAAGGTGTGAGTAGCCACTATGCGAGAGTAGCCACGACGATAGCCAAGATAAATCTAGGAAACTTTTATGAAAGAATAGATGCTCACTGATGTTACCTCGGAATATAAAGAGTAAAATATATTGTAAAAACTTTAGGACCCTGCAACACTA